GTTCGATCCCCAGCACCACATGCCAGCCAGCCCCGCCCCCTGGTGGGCTGAGCTGGCCACACACACACACAATAAATAAATGTAATAAATAAAAATAAATAAATATTAAAAAAAAAAAGAAACACATTTAACTCAAAAAGAAGTTCAGACTAAAACTCTATTCCACATGACAGGAACCTGGTAAAAAGCAGGTGTAGCTATATATTTGCAGTTGGATGTTTTGGGTCTCTAGGGCATGGCTAGATCTACTGCACTCTTTTGCATTTGCCTTTTTAGGTGAATATTATAAAATAATCTTATAAATTATGTGTACTGTATTTAAATATATTCCTTTATAATCCCTAATCACCAGATAGGAAAGTAAAAAATTAAATTATCATTTGCACGGGATAGGGATATAGCTTAGCGGTCAAGCGCCTGCCTGGCAAGTGCAAGGACCTGGTGTTCAATCCCTAGTACTATATGTCATGCCTGCCACCAAAACCAGGCAGGGTGGTGCATGCCTGTAATCGCCTGCCTGGCAAGTGCAAGGACCTGGTGTTCAATCCCCAGTACTATATGTCATGCCTGCCACCAAAACCAGGCAGGGTGGTGCATGCCTGTAATCCCAGCACTGGGTAGGCTGCGACAGGAGGATCACTATGAGTCTGAACTACATGGCAAGACCCTATACCAAGTAGATAACTAAAAAATAAATTATCATTTGCAGGTGACATGATACTCTACACAGAAGACCCCAAAAACTCCACCAAAAGGTTCTTAGAATAACCAAATCCAGCAGCATAGCAGAATCCATAGGCTACACTCAAAAATCAACAGAATTCCTGTATAAAAATAAGATTCTTATAAAAATCTTATTATAAGATTTATAAGATTCTTATAAAAATCTTATAAAAATAAGATTCACACAGCACTTGGGTGGCCAAGGCGGGAGGATCATTTTAAGTTCAAGGCAAGCCTGAACTAAAAAGTGAGTTCAAAGCCAGCCTGAATGGCATAGTAAGTCCCTGTCTCAAACACTCACTGAGAAATTAGGGAAAAAATACCTTTCACAATGCTGTCAAGAAAAACAAAATGCTTAAGAATCAATTTACAAAGGAAGTGAAAAAACCTAATATTGAAAACTACAGTACTCTGAAAAACGAGATCAAAAAGAGTATCAGAAAATAGACAGATATCCTTTGTTCTTGAATAGGAAGAACCAATAAAAGGAAAATGGCCATACTTCCAAAATCGTTACACAGATTTAATGCAATTCCAATCGAAAGACCAACAGTATATCTCACAAAATTATAGAAAACATCTTAAAATTCATTAGGAATCGTAAGAGACCTAGAATAGCAAAAGCAATTCTGGGCAACAAAGGCAAGGCAGGGGGCATCACAATCCCTGACTTGAAATTATACTACAAAGCTAATGTGTTAAAAAAAAATAAAAGTAGGGCCAGCCAAATAGCTCAGCGGATTAAAGCGCCTGCAAGTAGGCTCAGGGGCCAGGGGTTCAATCCCAGGCCTGCTGTGCCAGCCTGCACTGACACTGCAATTGAGATTAGGCATGGTATAATCCAAGGGCTGTAATCCAAGAGCTGTAATCCCAGCTCTTGGGAGGCTGTAAACAGGTAGATCACTATGAGTCAATCTAGTAGTGAGACTCTGAACACCCTGTAGACCCTTCACTACAATACAAAAAAACCCCCCAAAAACCAGACCTGAGGATCAAGGGGACAGATTAAAAAATGCAACAACTCCAAACACACTCAGTCACCTTTCTTTGACAAAGGAGACCAAGGCCTTTACTGGAAGAAAGCCTGTTTAATAAACAGTGCTAGAAAAACTGGCTTTCCACATGCTGAGTTTTTTTTTTTTTCTTTCACATACTAAGTCTTAAAACAAGACTCATATTTCACCACACACTAAAATTGAAATGGATTAAAAATCTAAATATTAAAACAAAAACTAAAACACTATTAATCCCCGGTTCTGGAGAAAAAAAAAAAAGAGAGAGAGAAAGAAAAATAAAACACTATTAAAACAAAAACACTAAATCTGCTGGAAGCATGAATAGGTAGAACTCTTGAAGACACTGGTATAGGTGAAAACTTCATGAAAAAAACCCAGATTGCCCAGGAACTATCAGATAGAATCAACAACTGGGACTTCATCTTCTTCCTTTTTTTTTTTTTTTTTTTTTTTTTTTGCAGAACTGGGGATTGAACTCAGGCCCTTGTGCTTGCCAGGGAAGCACTTATTCTATTGAGCCATCTCCCCAGCCCTGGGACTTCATCTTATTAAAAAATCTTTGGCATAGTAAAAGAAACCACAAACAAAGCCGGGTGTGGTGGCACACATCTGTAATTCTAGCACTTGATTGAGGCAGGACGATCATTGGGAGTTTGAGACCAGCCTGTGCTCTAAAGTGAGCTCAAGGTTAGCCTCAACTGCATAGTGCAACCCTGTTTCAAAAAGAAAACAAACAAACAAACAAACAAAACACCCAAAAATAAACCCACCAACAGAGGGAACAGACAACCAATAGTGAGGGGAAAATCTTTTTGCTGGCAATTCTTTATAAAGGACTAATACCTACAACAAATAAAGAACTCAAAATTAGTAGTACAATTATCTTAAAATTTAAAAAAATTCAAAAAAAAATCAGACCCCTCCAAATTAAAGACCCAGTTCAAAAATGGACATGTGAAACAAATAGACTATTTCTCAAATCAAAAAGTAGAAAAGGCAAATAAATATATGAAAAAAATTAACATCATTGGTCATTTGAGAAATGTAAATTAAAACAACACTGAGATTACATCTCACCCCAGGAATAATGGCTAATAGTAAGAAATCAACCAATAACTGGGCATGATCATACACATTTATAATCCCAGCACTTGGGAGGTTGAGGCAGGGGGATTACTGCAAGCTCAACACCAGCCAAGGCTACCGAGTGAGTTCAAGTACAGCCTGGCTGTCTTAAAAAAAAAAAAAAAAAATACTGGCAGGGCTGTGGGCAAAATGGAACACTTCATCACTGCTGGTGGAAGTATAGACTGGTGCAACCACTGTGGAAATCAGTGTGGTGATTCCTCAAAAAACTAGAACTAAAACTAGGTGTTCTGCCAGGGAGATAGCTCAGCAGAACAAGCACTTGCCTGGCAAGCACAGGGTCCTGAGTTCAATTCCCAGTACCACAAAATAAAAATAATAAAACTAGACGTTCCAATTCACCCAGTTATTCCCCTTCCTGTTACCTTTCTGAAAGAAAAGCTTCAAAACCTATTGCTACGTGCACAGCCATGTTTATAGTGGTAAAATCTGTAATAGCTAAATCTTAGAAACATTCCAAATGCCCATCAATGATCAATGGACAAAGACTTTTTTTTTTTTTAATACAATGGAGACTTTTTTTTTTTTTTATACTCTGCTTCTGCCATATAGAAAGATGAGCTTGAGACATTGGTAGCTAAATGTATGTACCTTGAGACCATACTCTTTTTTTTTTTTTTTTTTTTTTTTTTTAGCTTCTTTCATTAGACCATACTCTTAAGTGAAATCAGACACGCATGTTTAAATATTGCATTGTTTCTTTGGTGTGAAAAACCAAAGTATAAATAAGGACCAACACGTATAACAGATATTGGAAAACTTGAAGAAAATGTTCAAATGAAAAGGTCAATAAAGGGGCTGGAGAGATGGCTCAGTGGTCTAAAGCACCTACCTGAAACAAGCTTGGCAAAGCACAGGGACCGCGGTTCGATCCCCCAGCACCACATGCCAGCCAGCCCCGCCCCCTGGTGGGCTGAGCTGGCCACACACACACACAATAAATAAATGTAATAAATAAAAATAAATAAATAATTTAAAAAAAAAAGAAATGGTCAATAAAGAAAGGGGAGGGGGGGAAAGGAATGAAGGGACAAGTAAAAAAACAGAATGAAAGGGGAAAATGGAAACAAAGATTTTGTAAATAAGCAGGTTTGGAGGGGAGGGGAAAGAAGGGGAATAGGAGAAAAAAGAAGAAACAAGATGTATCATACAGGTACAAATTCATTGGATGAATGCTATTATTATGTATATATAAAATGTACCCATAAAATATCCCCCCAAATAATCTACTATGATCATTCCAGATGTTACCTGAATAATGGTGAACCCCGATCTGAGAATAATATCTTGAATCTCCTCCTCTTTGTCAACAATATCGGGTTTGATAATGGCCAGAGTTTTTTCTACATAGATTTGAGGAGGGGGCATTGATAGCTCCATTTTGGCCTTTCCAGGTACAATCTTAGTTTCTTGACAAGTGTTAACTGAAAAGACATGCATCTCAGATCCCAAATTCAATGTAATTGTGATTAAGAGTAGCACTATTACTAGATTTTACTAGTTTATAAAAGTAGAAACTGACATATATTTTTCTATAAGCACTGTCTCAATGATTTCTCCTGTGACCAAGCTGAGTCCTGAGGATCAGAACTCACAGGATCAAGACCAACAGGAAACTTGACTGGGAAGGCACGAGAGGAGGAGGGGAAAAGGAAGGGGAGGGGGGACTGGGCTGGTTAGCAACACTGCACGCCACTCCAGCAACAGCAGAGCAGGCCCAGTTAGCTGCCTCAGTGAAGCAACCCACTGGGCTCACTTTATGTTGTAAAGCCTGACTAGAAAACGGGTCTCCAAGTGCTCTAGCATGCCCTAGGGTGAAGCTCTCAGACACTTACCTCAGTGCGTGCCTTTCCAAAGCAGCTTGTTGCTAGGAGACTCGAAGCCACAGTTTGCCATCCTACGGTGGCTGTAGAGGGCCAACCCCCCCCCTTTTTTTTTTTTTTTTTTGTGGAACTGGGGATTTAACTTAGGCCCTTGCCCTTGCCAGGGAAGCGCTTATTCTATTGAGTTATTTCCTTGGCCCCCCTATTAATAATTTGTACTAGTTATAACTAAGGGAAATCAGCTATGGGTGTTTTTATTTCCCTTGTGAATCTTAGTATACTGGATGTTTTTTAAATTTCCCATAATTTACCTTGGGGATTACCCTGGATGGAACCCCAAGGCCTTCACATTAATTTACATTCCCAGTCATTTTTATCGCCTCCCTCCACCCACCCCTCCCCCAAAGGGTTTTGCTAAGTGCTACTTTGACCAGGCCAGGTCCAAGCATATGATACTTGTGATTCTGCCTCCCAGGGTACTGGAATTACATGCCTGTGCCACCAGGCCCAGCTATAATTTATTTCAAATTCTTACTTTCGTTTTTGTTTAGACTTCAGACTTTTTTGAGGTAATTCAGACAGGTCTTGAACTATGTAACTTAGGCTGGCCTCAAACTCATGGCGATTCTCCTGCCTCAGCCTCCCTGGTGCTGGGATTAAGGGGTGTACTGGCATGCCCAGCTAAGCTCCTGTCTATTTGAAGGGCACTTCAATTACCCCTATGACTTTATATAAGACATCATAGACACTTCCCAGGGACCACTCCACCCCCTTCTAGACACCATATATAAGATGACCTGAGTCAACTCTATAACTTGTTTCAACACATGACGCTGCCCCTCTAGACTCAGCTTCTATAATCATTAAAAAGCAGTTTAGTTTATGAAATATTTATTTATACAACAATAGTAAATGCTTAATCTACCTCTAAATTAAGCCTATGGAACAAAAATGTGGCAAATGTTAGCAGCAGAAACCCAACTCTTAGCTCCCTCACATCACCATCTCTAAAAATATTACACTTGCAGGCATTTTCAGCTCCTTGGTTGTGAGTTAAGAAAGGACCATTAAGAAGCTATATGCAAGTCCTGAGATTTTCTCTAATCAGTCTCAAGGGGAAGGTCAAAAACTCCAGAAATGGTCATGGCAGCAGCTCCAGGTTAACAGAACAGATTTCCATCATCCCCCAGGTCGGCTGGTACTGATTTCTGACTACTTAGGTCTCTTCTTTTGTCTAACCAAATATTCAGCACCTGTCAAGAAACACGGAGCAAGCTATGAATCTTCCAGGCTACAAAGGATTGAATGCAATTTTATTTTTTTGGCAAATAAATTTCACTACATTGCCTTTTCTTTGAAGGATGATGCTGTCCAGAAAAGAAAGCCCAAATGTTTTTTTGAAGCTACTGCATGTTATCCTCTAAATATGGAAAAGGGCAACCTATTTTGGACCCCTCCTGTCTCTCAGGAGCTATTCCTATCTCTCTTGCCCCATCACTGTTACCTATTCCTTTTCTCCAATAAAGTTTCCTACTTTTAAAAAAACAAACATAAATGTATGAAAGTGTGAATGTACATCAACACCTACAGATATAACTGAAAAATGGACTGTAACTTGTACTTTGGGGCCTTCAATTTGAGGCTGTAGGCACAGAAGTTCCCATTAATTTTCCATCCCCAGCTCTTTTGCTACTTGCTTTTCTAGTCTACCTCACTGTACTATGTATTAAAATCTGACTTACTGAGCTTCAGTGCTTTCTTTCTGTTTTCGGGGTGTGTGTGTGTGTGTGTGTGTGTGTGTGTGTGTGTGTGTGTCAAACTCAGGACCTTGAGCTTGCCCAGCAGGCACTGCTACATGCCAGCTACAGTGTTTCCCCTTAAGGTCTAGAAACAAACTGGGAATGCAAGGCCATAGTATCAATCTTTTTTTTTTTTTTTTTTTTTTTTTTTTTTTTCAGTACTGGGGATTGAACTCAGGACTCTGCCCTTGCCAGGCAGGTGCTTCTACTGATCTATCTCCCCAGCCCCTTTCTTTTTAGGGAAGGGTCTACAGGGTGTTCAGGGTCTCGTTACTAGACTGGATTCATAGTGATTGCCTGTTTACAGCCTCCCAAAGGCTGGGATTACAGGCGCACACTACCATGCCCAGTCTCAATGCATGGGGAGGGGGGGAGGGGGGGCAGCACAGCAGGCCCAGGGATCAAACCCCCAGCACTTGAGCCGGCTTCCAGGTGCTTTTAATCCACTGAGCTATTTGGCCAGCCCTTCTTTTCTTATTCTTAAGCAGACTTTATTTATTTGGTACCAGGAACAAAACTCAGGATCTTGTGCTTACCAGGAAGACACTTGTGCCTCCGAGCTATATGTCCAGCCTTATCACTCTTAATTTCATAGACTTTCCAAAGTCAAATTCCAGAGGCTACCCTCCCTACCCCCTTTTCTTGGGGCTCTTTGTGATACCTGAATCTGCTCCAAGACTTCCCGCTGCATCTCCACAGCCATGTGATACACATGATGATCAGAGTCATTGTACATCACAGCATTTTGGAACATCAGCATCAGGTCACGCAGGAACTGTGCCATGGTACGGATCCGTCCCTTAGATAGATTCCTCTTCAGGCTAGTTAAGTCCATGGGTCTACAAATGATCAAGAATTCACTTTATTTATTTTTTGAGACAGGGTCTCACTATGTAGTTCAGGTTGGCCTTTCACTCACTATGTGGTCCCAGCAGGCATCAACCTCACAGTAATCCTCCTGCCTCAGCTTCCCAAATGCTGGATTATAGGCATGTGCCGGCATGCCCAGCTTCAAACTTTAATGTGGAAGAAATTATCTGACTCTAAATGAAAATAGTCACTAAAGGAGCTGGTGAGGTAACTCAGTGGACTAAAGTGTCTGCTTAGGCAAGCTTAGGCCAGTTCAGGGATCACGGGTGGATCCCAGGCACATTCTGCGCCAGCCCCACCCCCATGGGTGCTAAACTGGCCAGAGTCTGGGCATAGTGGCACATGTCTGTAATCCCAGCTCTGGGGAGGCTGAAAGCAGCAGGATCACCATGAGTACAAGCTATAAAGTGAGACTTTGTAACAACCAAATACATAAAAAAAAAAAGAAAGAAAATAGTCACTAAAGATATTAATTCTTTTCAAATAATAAAAAAGCAGCCACTCTTAATCCTCTTAATACACACATAAGATAGTTACTATTGTCATTATTGCTATTATTTTTTTTTTGACAGGAACATAGAGAATTTATTGGTTCCATCTAATCTGTACCAAATTCACTATCAAAAGTGTTAAAGAAGTCAGGTAAAGAAGAAAAATAAGTTTGAGGATAGTATGGACAATTATTTAGAAGATATCCACTATGGAAGGAATAAATTGAAGCAATATAATCTTAGAATGCTCACAGTGTACTTTCCAATGGACTAGAAAATCTGATTGCAATCTATTTTTTTTTATTTTTTATTTTGTTAATTTTATTCATTTTAATAAGAAAAGATAAAATATCAATGAAACAGTTTCAAAACAGGTTTGAAAGACAGTTACAATAAGTAATACATTGCATATTGTTGTCTTTGTTGTTGCTATTATTATTAAGAGACAATCTTGGTATGTTGTCCAGGCTGGCCTGGAACTCTAGATCTACCTGCTTTAGCCTCTTCAGTAAGAGGAAGGAACCAGGCTCAATGATGTACATTTGTAATCTCAGCTACTTGGGAAGCTAAGGTGAGAGGAATTCAAGGATACCCCTAGCATCATAGTGAGACTGTGCCTCAAAACAAACAATAACAGAAAAAGAAAACCTGGGGATATGACTCAACAGAAGAGTACCTGCCTAGAGTGAGGCCCTGGGTTCAATTCCCAATATTGTAAAAACAAAACAAAACAAAATTTAATCAAGTAAGGATAGGTATTATTACTATCTCCATTTGTCACATGAGGGAACTGAGATTTAAAGAGGTGAAATAGTACTTACCCAAAGTCACACACAGCCTAGATTCCAATTTAGAGGCAGCTTGACTACAAGGCCCACAGGTCAAGCCACCTTAGTTTTGCAGTAGTAGTGCTGGCTCCAGGTAGCAAAATTATAAGGTGATCCCGCAATCAATTTGTTACACAGTAATTATTTGCTATTTATAATGTATAACCATATATTAGGTTTTAAATTTATTTCTCTCACACAAATTAAAAGGCGCCATTTCATAGACATGAAGTGTAAGTACATAATTAATTTTTTGGTTTTTTTTGTGATAAGGTCTCAATGTGTGGTTGAGGCTGACCTTGAATTTGTGGTGGTTCTCCTACCTCAGCCTCCCAAGTTCTGGGATTATAGGCATGCATCACCACTCTCAGCTGAATATAGTGAATGTTAAAATAAATAAATAATAATAATTATTATTTTTTTAATTTTTATTTATTTATTTATGTGTGTGTGTGGCCAGCTCAGCCCACCAGGGGGCGGGGCTGACTGGCATGTGTGCTGGGGGATTGAACCACCGTCCCTGTGCTTTGCTAAGCTTGTTCTAAGTAGGTGCTTTCATCTCACCAGCCTCAATAAATAATTATTTAATGAGACAAAAAGAATATGTATACAAGAGTAGGCAGAGCACTGTGATAAAGGACTGAACTAGAAAAGGCTAAGGTTTAGTTCTAGCTCTGCTATTAACTCTGGCTGATAACAGGCAGGTCCTAACTATCCCCAAGTCTTGCTTTCCTCATTTACAGAAGGGAGTTCATCTCTGCTAGTTTGAATGATGGTGTCCCCTCCAAAACTCCTGTTGAAAGCCAGACATGGTCGTGTATACCTGCAATCCCAGCACTCAGAAGGCTGTGGCAGGAGGATCATTGTGAGTTCAAGGCTAGCTTGGGCTAAAAAGTGAGCATAACGCCAGTCCAAACTATATAATGAGACACTGTCTCAAAAAGATAAAAAAAGAAACCCCCCAAAAAACAAACAAGGGGCTGGGGAGATGGCTCAGTGGAATAAGTGTTTCCCTGGCAAGCTCAAGGGTGTGAGTTCAATCCCCAGTTCCGCAAAAAAAAAAAGAAAAAGAAAAAGAAAAAGAAAAAAAACACCCTCATGTTGAAACTTAACCCCAGTATTAAGAGAGATGACCTTTGGGAGGTGATTTATTTATTTATTTTTGTGGAACCAGGGATTGAACTCAGGCCCTTGCACTTGACAAGGAAGCCCTAATTCTGCTGAGCCAAATCCCCAGCCCTTGGGAGGTGATTGAAATCACAAGGGCTCTCTCAGCACTTGGAGAGGCTGAAAACAGGAGGATCACTAGAGTCTGATCTGTGTAGTAAGACCCTGTAGACCCTGTACTAAATACATTTTTTAAAAAATCACAAGGACTTACTCTCAGTAAGATTGAGCAGGGCCAGGGAGATAGCTCAGTAGAATAAGTGCTTGCCCAGCAAACACAAGGTCCTGAGTTCAATCCCCAGTACCACCAACAAAAAAAAAAAAAAAAAAAAAGAAAAGAAAAAAGATGGAGCATCCTCATAAAAGGGTTTGAGATTACAGGAAGCACCTTTGCCCTTCTGTCACTTTCCCTGTTTATAGGGGAAAATAAGAACGCAGTCCCCACTACCACAAATTATGCAGTGGAGTTTTCAACATTTAGGGAAATCACAGGGCAATGGATAAACCTCACTCTGGGAAAACCACCTTTGTGATCATGGTATCTTCCATGCCATGTAAGTATTGAAGATGCTATCTTACAAGCAGAGAGGAGCCCTTATCAGATGGCAAACTTTCTGGCACTTGGTTCATGTTATCCCAGCCTTCTATGAACAGTTTTTCATTTTTAGTTTAGATCAACCATTTTTCAGTCAAAATATCAAAATTGATTTGCTGACAGCTCATCAAAAATTTTAAGATAATTAAACAATAGTTGCTAAGGATAAGGAAAAATCACTGAACAGGACTCCAATTGGTAAATGGAGGAGTGGCCAATCTTGTTCACTAATAAGGAGCCCTCATGATTTCCAGAGTCCCTTGGGAGATACTCTCAATAATTTAGTCCTTGATTTTTCTGATCAAGGAGATTATGGGACCACAGAAGAAGGTGACTCTACAATGTATAGTGTGCCTAAGGAGGGTTACTAGGAGAGAAAAAAATTCAAGTTTTCGCAGAAAGCAACTTCATCAAGCAATGGCTGTGACTCATCCAGATGGCTGGCATTGATAGATCTAAGAGGTTGTCTACAAGGTTCCCAGGTAAATCCTGAGGAGCCTTAACTGACCTTAGTAGTTAGTGCAAACTGGTTAATAAGGGTTTTGCCTTAACTTGGTCTCATATATCCCACAGAAAAGTGCAACCACAAGATGTATAAAAAGAAATGTCATAGTAATGTTAGTCATAAAGGGTTCAAATCACCAACAACTTCTGACAATTGCTAGCTAGACTGGAAACTGACCATCGCTATGGATATTTGGACTATATCTCCAAGTACTTTTTCAATTTCAACTAAACACCCATCATCTACAAAACAGAAGAGAGATTCTGGGAGCAGCTGAAGCTGGAAATTGCAAGTGCAGGACAAAGCCAGCCTGAGAGAGAGCTCCTCAAAGCGTATAAACAAGCCACTGCAGCTTCTTAACTGATTGCTGGGTAAGAAGGCTGAAATTACTATCAACCTCTCAAGGGTATAAATAAATGTTCTACCATTCTTGGTACCATTCTCAGCTTAGGAGAGAGAGAATCTCCACCTGACTCAGCTATTGTCTGTTGTCTATCTTTTCCTCATTCTCATTGTAGTTCTTACCTGGGATACACCAAAGAGCCCAACAAGTCCCTACAGATATCATTTTAGATGAACTATGATATTAAAATTCAAAATACTGCACTTTCAGGGCATGGTGGCACATGCCTATAACCCCAGTGCTTGGGAGGCTGAGGCAGGAGGACTACTGCAAGTTTGAGGCCAGCCTAAGCTGCATAGTGAGTTTAAAGCCAGCCTGCACTACACAGTGAGACCCTATCTCAAAAAACAACACATAAAACAACAATAACAACAAAAAAGTCACACACACACCCACCTGCATTCATTCAATGTTTGTAACTCCCATTTGGGTTAACATCTTTGCTTTAGCATACCTATAACTGAATGGATATAGGGTTCCTTTTCATAGTAGGCATTTTTCTGTCACTAGGACTAAATACCTGAGACAACTTCAACAAGAAGAGGTTTAGGGGGGCTGGTGAGATGGCTCAGTGGTCTAAAGCACCTACTTAGAACAAGCTAAGCTAAGCAAAACACAGGGACCGCGGTTCAATCCCCCAGCACCACATGCCAGCCAGCCCCGCCCCCTGGTGGGCTGAGCTGGCCACAGACACAAAATAAATAAATATTAAAAAAATAATAATAATAAAAAGAAGAGGTTTAGGGGGCTGGGGAGATGGCTCAGTAGAACAAATGCTTCCCTGGCAAGCACAAGGGTCTGAGTTCAATCCCTGGTTCCACAAAAAAAAGAAAAAAGAATATGTTTAATTTGGTTCACAGTTTGGAAGTATTCAGTCTACAGTCAGCTGGCTCCAAGGTAGAAATACCACATGTTAAAAAGCCATGACAGGAGACGACCCAGGCCGCGGGATCCTGAACAGAGCACAGGCCCTGTGAGTGA